TCTGGGACAAGTTCAAGTGTTCCCAAGTTCACATCTCGGGGGTGCCAGAAGAGACGAGAAAGAGCAAGAAATTGGAAATCTAATTGAAAAAATAATGAAAGCAAACTTCCCTAATTTGGTGAAGGAAATAGACGTGCAAGTCCAGGAAGCACAGAGTTCCAATCAAGATGGGTACAAAGAGGCTCACTCCAAGACACGTCATAATTAAAAGGCAAAGGCTAAAGATAGAGAATCTTAAAAGCTGCAAGAGAAAAGCAGGTAGTTACCTAAAGGAGGGTGCCAGTGAGGCTGTCAACTGATTTCTCAGAAGAAACTTTGCAGGCTGGAAGGAATTGCCAAGAAATATTTGAAGTCATAAAGAGCAGGGACCTACAGCCAAGATTGCTTGACCCAGCGGGCGCGTCCTGCCCACTGTTGTGCCGGACGCTGGGATGGAGGAATGCCTTTTCTCCCCGAGCCCTTTCTGCAAACCCGGCAGGGCAGGGCCGCGTGGGCGGAGCCGGGTCGTTGTGCTCCGGCGGCTGCTGCAGGCGCGCACGCTCCACGACGCGGCCCAGGCGGCGCTGCAGGCCGGAGACACCTCACTGGGACGGCTGGTGTTCACCCTACTGACTCCTGTTGTTGTTGAAGTGCGGGATTTTAAAAAATGTATGGGAATGAAAAGGTCCTTGTTCTTACAGGATTATCTCCTTAATTCCAAGGTGAGCCTCTGTTGCTCTTGAAAAGCTCTAAGGGCAAAGGCTGTCCATGACAGTGCAGAATCCCAGGGCCTGTCAGCAGGGCCATCGCGAGTCCCTGCCTGCCCTCCGAGGGGCAGGGCACTGCGCTGCGTGGGACTGGTCGCCTACCTCAGACTCCAGCTGCCTCGGGGAGGGGTTTCTGCCTTTCGTTTTCTCGCAGAGCACGGGGCGGGGCTCGGACTGCGAAGACCCCCACGCCTGTTTGTCTTTCTCGTGAGCAGCAGCATTGCCTCTGCATTCTGCCCTCTCGGTGCCCGAGATTAATGTTCCAGCTCAGCTTGGGTTCACATTTATTACTTATAGTTTAATGTCCTGATTACAGATATTTGTAGAAAATTTCAAAGCAGAGCCAGCAGAGGAGGATGGCGGAGGCTGGGTTGTCTGTCCTACATCTGTGTGTGGGGAAACTCCCTGCGCTCAGGGTTTCCTTACCTCTCGACGGTGCAGCTCTTCTGTCTTTGTTCGTTTTCAGTAGAATAAAAAAGTTCGATTATAAAAACAACTTTGCTTTACATCTGAAAGGATGCTCAACATCACACCGATTGTTAAGGAGCTGCGCATGAAAGTCACTGAGAGCCGCCACTTCCCCCCAGGAGGATGGCTGGCACCCGCAGCGCAGCCCATAGCAGGTGCCAGTGTGGCGCGCGGGAGGGTGGGGTCCTTGTGGGTGCTGGCCGTGGCGCTTACAGTGGTCGGCTGCGGCTGAAACCATGCCTTAGCCCCTCCCACACCAGTCTGGGTCTGCACATTTCGAGCTACATCCCATAACCTTCTACAAGAAAAGGTAATTTATAAAGCAATCCCACTTCTGTGTGCGGACCCACAAGAATTGAAAGCAGGGGCTGGAACAGATACTTGTATGCATGTGTTCATGGCAGCGGTGTCCACAGTAGCCAGATTGCCTGCGGTAGGTGAATGGGTAAGCAGTGTGGCCTCTGCTGACAGTGGAGTGCCGCTCCGCCTTGAAGAGTAAGGGAATTCTGACACATGCTAGAACGTGGATGGACCTTGAAGATACTATGCCGAGTGAGACAAGCCAGTCACAAGAGGACGAATACTGGGCGACCCCGTTTACAGAAAACGCCCGCAACAGTCAGAGTCGCAGAGAGAGGGGGTGGGGGGGAGCGGTGGCCGCCAGCGTCTGGGCACCGGGAGTGGGGTCGCTGTCCCGTGGGCAGAGGGTCTCGGTTGGGTGTGGCAGGCAGAGGCGCTGCCTGCGCTGCAGGAGTGCGCTGAGCCTGTGTTCTTTGTGTCTCCGGGAAGCATTGCTTGGTCGCCGAGTCCGTGGCAAGCACGATGGATATAAAACTAAGGAGATACCATCCATCCCCTTGAGAAACTCAACTTCAGAAATTAGACTCCTAGTTCAGTGACCAGAGCGTTATTTTAATCACACTGAGCCTCTTGGCTCTTGTCAAGTTTTCACATTTTTCTAACAATACAAATGTGTTCTTTTAGTTACATTCCTATTACTTACGAACATTGGCTGCTTACCTCGGGTACGTTTGGGGATTCCATCTTCCACCTCATTGATACCATGTTTAAGCATTTTACTTTTTTTTGTAAAATGTCATTTACTGTTTCTAATCCTCACCCAAAGATATTCTGTTGCTGACTTTAGGTAGAGAGACAGAAACACCCGTCAGCTGCCCGGTAAACTCCTGAGCCGCGGTCGGGCCCACAGCCTTCTGGTGATGCTCCGACCCGCTGAGCTACCCAGCCAGGGCACATGTAAACATTTTTCAGAGTTTTTTTTAATGTTTTTGAAGTAGAAGAAACTACATAGAAAGTAAAACTATTCACAGTATAAATTTGCCACAGTGTTTTGTCATATTTCCTTCAGATCTGTTTTAGAAATGTTACAAAAATCACCCCCAATTCCATTCTTACGTCCCCCCAAAAGAGCTGCGGTTCTGGGTTCTGTTGTGAAAACGATCGTCCGCGGGGCGACGTGCCCGGTTTCTGAAGGGCGCGCCTCGAGCGCCGCCGGGGGTGCTCGCGTGTCGTGCCGCTTTCTCTTCCCTGCGCTGCCCTTTGCGGCCACTTCGCGGCCTGTCGGACTGCCGGCGGCCTCCCTTCCTGCCCCTGGCTGGTTTCCCGCTTCCTCTGCGTGACGTCTTCTGTCGCGCACGTGCCGTTAGCACCACGGTCAAGTCTTTCAACTTCTGTGCGTCTTCTGTAGGAAGGCGCAGTGTCCTAGGTCATAGCGATAGCCTCCTGGGTTTCTTTATTAAGCTTTAAGAAGTTTGGCATTTTGTAACTCACTCTTGAATTCCTCTAGAGCTTGTTTTCATGTATGGTTTGAGGTAGGGATCCACTGTGACTTCTGCCACACAGCTAACCCCCTTCCAGCAGCACTCAGCAGTCCTTCCCCTCTCCCTGGTTTGTACTGCATGCTGTCCTGGTCCCTCGGATAGAAACAGCTGTTTCAAACCTGACCCGTACCCAGCGTGCGTCCCTCAGATTGGGGCTGGGCAGTACTCAGAAGCATTTTACAGGAGCCCTCAAAGCAGACCAGTAACAAAGAGCCGATCCTCTTCCAGTGGGGCCCATAGGGAGTGGGAAAGGTGATGGGAAGTATTCGGAAGGCACTGGGTGCTGGGAAGGAAGGCCGGGACTCCGGGCGGCAGCCTCCGGCCCAGGCCAGGCCGTGGCGGGGCTGCAGTGCGCGCTGGCCCGCCTCCTGCGCACCCGTCCGGGAGAGAGCTGAGGTGGGTGTTCTGATGACGGGGCAGTCTGTCTTTTGAGTCGGTCTTGTTTTCTGTGTTGAGTGATGTGTGTCGCCTGTCTCTTTAACTTAGTTATTATGTAAGCTAGCTCTTATAGTATGTGCAAAACCAGTAGGGGAAGTCATCTTAACCTGGGACTGCAGAACCAGCCCCTAATACTTGGCAGTAAAAGACTCAGTTGCTTTGTAGTAGTTTACATGCTGACAGTTTTCTGTTGCCCGTCCCCATTTTCCCCTGCGGTGTTCCCCTGGGATGGCCTGCCCCTGCTAGAGCCTAGTTCCAGCTCAGCACCACCCTTTGGGTCGGAGCAAGAGTGGTTAGCGTGCTTGTCTCTAAGGTTGGAGCCAGCTTTGTGTTGCCTTTCTAGTGATACTGGTATTCTTTACATACTGCCTTTTTTTTTTTTAGCTCCTTCAAACTTTTAAAGAGACTTTCTTTAAAAACCAATTTTACTGTTCACGAGTAAGATTTTTCTCGTTAAAATAAATTTGAATAGAACATAATGATGAAAGGTTCCAAAAGAAAAAGAAATATTTTATTGTAGTTATCTGCATATCATACTAGAAAGAAATTCTGTCAAGGATTTCTAAATTGTGTGAATTTGTTATACGTACAAGTTAATTTTTTCATTTCACTGTGTTTTTGAGCGATACATTAAATAAAGTCTGCTGGAAAACTAATTGGAATATAATTTTGATTGCCGTATGAGAAACACTCGAATTGTTAGGAAATCAGAGGAGATAAAATACACCAGGCACTGGATCCTTTTGAAGGACCCTAAGAGTGAAAGGATAGAAACACTGTAGCAGGAGATCACACGAGGAAGAGGCTCGTTCGGGGAACGGAAGGCCGTTGCAGGAGTCCTCGGGGGTCCAGGAAGACCCCAGGTGTGGGGCAGAGAACGTTTGTTATTGATGCGCAGGAACCAGTGATGAATCATGAGGTAGCACAGATACGAGTCAACCCTTCTAACCCTTAGTATGCTTGATAAAACACAAGACAGCATTTTGTCGTGTTTTTTCTCCCCTCCTGCCTCTGTCCGCCACTCCTCGGGGAGTGTTCTCGCACGTGATGCTGTGGCGCACTCACGGCTCTTCTCGGCTGCACACGCTTCCGCCGCTGTGTGCCGCTGTGACTCCAGCTGGGTCTTCGAGGGCACGTAGAGAGCCTGGGGGGCCTTGTGGCGGTGTCTCCCGAAGCCGGGGCGGCCAGGGTGGCGCAGCCGCTCTGGGACACGAAGCAGTGTCCCTCACTGCAGGTGTCTTCAGAGACTCGTGTGCCGCTGGAGTCCTCTCGAGAGGACGACACGTGGTGTACTGCCAGGAGTTAATGTGATTGTAGCAACATTAACTCTTTGTTTAATGGGAGCTTTTAAGAAGACAAACAACTCTCTTCTTTAAGTCCTTGTTCTAGCCTTTTTCATTCCGAACTGAAAACTTGAAATAACGAGCTTCCTCCAAAGAGGAGCCGAAGCTGATTCCTTGACACATGGGAGGAAAATCTAATTTTGAATGTGTTTCATCTTTTTCAGATCTCAGTCACAGCGGACTGGCAGATCATTATGAGAGCTCCCACTGGGGACAGCAGCCCACTTTCCGAAGCGAAGCCGGCTGCAGCTGGGATAAAGTGATCATAGACAGGACCGATAAGGAGGCGTGGCCTGCCATCGCGGGGACCGAGACGGAGTCTGCCTCAGAATGCGCTACGGACACTGACTCCGCCTCCAACTGCGGCTCGGAGAGCAGTAGCATGGCCACGGGGGGCGCCCAGGGCGGCTTCACTGGACACGCCAAGAAGACCAATGGCAACAACGGCACCAGCGGCACACTCGTCCAAAGCCCCCCGAACCCGAGCGCCCTGGGAGCAGGGGGGGCCAACGGCAACGGCAGCGCGGCCAGAGCGTGGGGCGTAGCCGCGGGCTCCAGCTCCGGCCTCGCTCACTGCTCGCTCGGCGGCGGGGACGGGAAAGTGGACAACATGATTGGAGACGGGAGAAGTCAGAACTGCTGGGGCGCCTCCACCTCCAACGCTGGCATTAATCTCAACCTTAACCCGAGCGCCAACCCGGCTGCCTGGCCGGTGCTCGGACATGAAGGAACTGTGGCAACAGGCAGCCCTGCCAGTATTTGCAGTCCGGTCAGTGCCATAGGACACAGCATGGGCACCCAGAACGGGAACCCGGCGGGCACTTTAGGTGCTTGGGGGAGCCTGCTGCCGCAGGAGAGCACAGAACCACAAACATCCACTTCTCAGAATGTGTCTTTCAGCGTACAACCTCAGAACCTTAACACTGATGGACCAAATAACACTAACCCCGTGAACTCTTCACCAAACCCTATCAATGCAATGCAGACAAATGGGCTGCCCAACTGGGGCATGGCTGTCGGCGTGGGGGCCGTCATCCCGCCCCACCTGCAAGGCCTTCCTGGTGCTAACGGATCGTCGGTCTCTCAAGTCGGTGGGGGCGGTGGCGAAGGGGGCGGCAGTTCCGTGTGGGGACTGTCCCCGGGTAACCCTGCCGCAGGGAGTAGCGGTTCTGGGCTCAGTCAAGGGAGTGGAGACACTGTGAACTCAGCACTAGGTGCTGAACAAAATGGGTCCAGCAGTGCTGTGCAGAAGGCGGGGGGCGGAGCGGCTGCCTGGGACTCGGGGCCTCCTGCTGGCCCCGGGATCCTCGCCTGGGGGAGGGGCCGCGGCGACAGCGGCGTCGGGAATACCCACTCGGGCGCGTGGGGCCGCCCCAGCCGAAGCACTGCTAACGGGGTGAATGGGGAGTGGGGGAAGGCCCCGAACCAGCATTCCAGTGGCGACAGCGGCGGGAAAGGATCCACGGGGTGGGACAGCCCTGGCGTGAGCGGCCAGAGCCCCGCCGTGCAGCCCGGCGGTGACCACCTGAGCTCATGGGCCAAAGCCGCCTCTTCCGGAACCACGGCGAGCGAGGGCAGCAGCGAGGGCTCCGGCAGTCACGGCGAGGCGGGTGCCGGGAGGGAAGGCGCCGAGGGCCGGAGGCGAGAGAAGGGGGTTCTAGACCAAGGGCACATCCAGTTGCCAAGGAACGATCTGGACCCGCGAGTCCTGTCTAACACGGGCTGGGGACAGACTCCAGTAAAGCAGAACACTGCCTGGGAGTTCGAGGAGTCCCCGCGGTCCGAGCGGAAAAACGACAATGGGACGGAGGCCTGGGGCTGTGCGGCCCCGCAGCCTCCACACTCAGGGGGGAGGAGCGATGGGTCCATCACCAACAGTACAAATACCTCTTCGGTGTCGGGCTGGGCCAGCGCCCCGCCTGCCGCCGGGCCGGCAGACGCGGGCTGGGGGGACAGCGGCGGCAGGGCGCCGAATGGCCCCGGGGTCTGGGGGGACTCGGTGAGCTCCACTGCTGTCGCTAATGCTGCTGCCGCCAAGGGCGGCCACTCCTGGAGTGGGACCGTGGGTCAGGAGGACAAGTCACCCGCCTGGGGGGAGCCTCAAAAGCCCAAATCTCAAAACTGGGGAGACGGACAAAAATCGAATCCAGCCTGGAGCGCGGGAGGGGGAGACTGGGCAGACGCGTCTTCGGTCCTCGGACACCTGGGGGAGGGGAAGAAAAACGGCTCCGGGTGGGACGCCGACGGCGGGCGGTCGGCGTCGGGCTGGAGCGAGTCTGCGCGGGCCGGGACCAGCGGCTGGGGCAGCGGCACGGGTGCAAAGGTGAACGCAGGGGCGAGCTGGGGGGAGTCTTTGAAACCCGGCCCCCCGCAGAACTGGGCGAGCAAGCCCCAGGACAGCAGCGTGAGTAACTGGGGGGGAGCCGCCTCCGTTAAACAGACGGGGACGGGGTGGATCGGGGGGCCGGTCCCTGTCAAACCGAAGGACAGCGGCGAGGCCACGGGCTGGGAAGAGCCTTCTCCGCCGTCCATCCGACGCAAAATGGAGATTGACGACGGCACCTCGGCGTGGGGCGACCCGAGCAGCTACAACAACAGAGCCGTGAACATGTGGGACAGGAACAACCCGGGCCTCCAGGGCAGCGCCGCCGCCGCCGCCACCACGAGCAGCAGCAGCACGAGCGCGGTCGAGACGCCGCAGCCACACCCGGCCAGCGCCCCACTGAACCGGTCGCCGCTGCTTGGTCCAGGTAGGCGAGGCCTCGGGTCTCTGAGGGTGAAACCGCGTTCGTCCTCGCGAGGTGCGCGTGTATCCGCCCGCTCACGTCTCCTGGCGAACGGCACTCGGTGCCCGCCACCTGGTGGCAGTGCTGCACCCCCGTGTCCTCGGGGGGCCGCGAGTCGCGCAGGGTCCCTGGGAGCTCTGTCCCCGAGAGGCCCCGTCCTGAGCCGAGCAGGGAAAGCAGAGGGAGGTAAACACACGCCCTCTTGGGAAAGGACGGCCGTTGGGTGAGCCTGCGCGTACGTGCGGAGTCCCTGTTTCTCTCCGACTCGAACCAGCGGCCCTCAGCCCAGGCCTGGTTCCAGTGCCCTGGGGGCGCAGGGCCGTGTCCTGGGCCTGCGGGGAAGCCCACCCACAGGCACTTTCTACAGCTCCACGGAGCTGGTGGGTGTGGGGGGGGCTGGCTTTGTAGCGTGTGAGTGGTGTCGCGCAGGAGGAGGCGTGCTTTGATTTCAGCTGAAAGAAAAACCTTGAAACCTGACTAAAACTTGTGTTTTGAGTTCTGCCTCGCATGAGGCGCTCTCCTAGACACTGGGGCGGACGAGAAGCAGAGCCCAGAGCAGCGCCAGCCCGCAGGGGCGGGGTTGTGACAGAGAGTGACTGGGGGTCCTCCGGGCCGGGGCTCACCGCATGGGAGGGAGCGGGAGGAGAGTGCAGGCCCCCCCTTGACACTTCCCACCCCCAAAGGCCCACGTGCAGGGCCCCGGGGCCCCACCCCACACTGCTTTCCTGGCCACTCCCGCCATCCTACCTCGGGACTGCGTCTGTGTCTGAGCCTCCCTGGCCCCTCGGCGCCCGGAGCTGCACGTGGGGTGGGTGCCGGGGTGGGGCAGAGCGGGGCTCAGTCTCCAGCCCCCACTGCAGAGCCTCAGTGCCCGTGCACAGCCCTGACGTCCATCCTCTCGTCGTCCAGGAAGTGGCCCCGAGCCCACTGCTGTCCCTCGGGGGCTCAGCTTCCCGTCTTCTGGTTGTTCTCCGGGTGCCCGCGCCAGGGCTCGGGGTCGCTGCAAGTGCGGTTTAACCGGCGCGGGGTGGCGGCGGCCGCAGCCCTCCTGCCTACCTCCCCGCTGAAGCCGCACTCCTGGGAGTGCAGTCTGCGCCCCAGCCTCCGTGAGGCGTGCTGTGCCACTTCTCTTAAATCGTGCTGGTACCGGGAGCTTTCGTTTTCACTAAGGCTGCTGTGAAGCCCTGCCTCCCTCCTGGCCAGTCGGCCTCTGGGTCCCAAGTGTAGAGCTTCATTCCTGGGAAGGTGCTGGACCCCAGCCCCGCGGCCGGCCGAGACCTGCCTGGACCCTGGTCCTGTGATCGGCGTACTCGCTCTTTCTGGCAGCTTCTCGCCGTCCCTAAATGCTGTAAGCAGGCAGCGCAGGCAGGGCTGGGGACAGGGTCCTCTCTCCGTGGCTGTCCACCCATCTTCTCACGCGTGGGGCCGAATCTGCATCCCAGAGCCCTCTCTGGAGCTCCAGACTGTTGAGCCCCCCCACACACCCCACTGTCACTAACCCGAAGGTCAGACGGCTGGCGGCCCAGGGCCGCGCCTGCCCCCACGCACCTGCCCTTTGGGCACACGTTGTTCGTGTGCATCAGTGTTTTCAAAGGAAAATGTTCTGTATAAATTCCAGATTTCTGGCTTCTTTTGGAAGCCTGGAAGCTCTGATACCTTGGCCTCCCAGGGCAGCAGTCGACCGGAGCGACCCCCTCAGTCAGACAGGGCCTGTGCCTTCCGGCGTGCCAGCCGCCGTGGCTCCTGGGGCGTGTGCTGGTCCGACCGGAACCGGCTGGCTCTCCTGGGGTATTCATATGTGTGATTCCTGGTGGTTTCTTTCCCCCACTAACGTATGGCTGACACTTCTCGGCACTCGGCTCTTGTGAAGTACTCAGGTGAAGGGGGGGCAGCACGGAGGAGGAAGGGCAACCGATGCTGGGTCTGGTTCCGTGGGCGGGGCCGTGGTACAGTCAAGGTAGGCAGAAGGTTCTCTGCGACTGTCGTCCTGCCCCCCCAAGACTTTCTCCGGGAACCCTCGTTCCCATGGCTGTCTTCCCAAGGTCATGCCCGACCCCCCCCCCCACACACACACACACACACACTTTTCCTGGCAGAACTCCAGCCGTACAGCGCGCCCTTGTGCCTGGCACGGGCTCCTGGCGGTGGGCGTGGTGACCACAGGGGGCTTGTTCCTGCGTCCTGCCGTGTGACGCCCGTGCTGTAGGGGGCGCAGTCTCCCGAGGGCACAGGCAGAGAGGGGGTGGTGAGGCTCCGCCGTGTGAGACAGGCCTTGCCTGCACCTCTTCCAAACACTAGGCCCCCCTCCCCGCGAGACGAGCCCCACCGCACGGGGACAGCTGCTTCTCCTCCCTCTGCGTGTTTCCCTGGATCAGCCCTTACCCGTGAGCTTCCCCCGTGTGAAGGCCTTCCTGGTTTGTCGGCAGGGCCAAAGAGACTGTCTCTCATCTGCAAAACGTTTACAGGTCGTTTTCCAACAAGCTGCACATTATCGCCCAACGTGAGAGAGGGTGACGCGGGTGACCCCCACACGCAGCACCGGTGTAGACGCAGTCCCCACGGAACAGAGACAGACAGGGCGGGTGCTGGTCTCCAGGCAGTGTGCTTGTCTGCAGAGCCCGTGTCACGTGTAGTGTGTCTCACGGCGTGTGGCGGGGTTGCTTCGCCATGTTTTTCCATTGATGATGTTAGCCTCTTCCACCGCGACACCCAGGGCTGCGAGAGCCGTCGTTCCTGCCCTCACTGCCTGGGCCCTTGAGGCCTCTGCCCTGAGCCAGGCCCTCCTCGGCCAGGAGGGCGGCTCCTCTGCTGCAGGCTCATCTGCTGCCCGAGCTTGTCCCCGCCCAGCACCCCCCGCCCCCCACACAGCTGAGCTCGCTGCTCAGCCCACAGCGGGCTGGCTCCTGCGGTCCTCTCATGAGGGGGGGGTGGGGGGGTGACAAGTGGGTGCCCGAAGCAATGACAGGAGCAGCAGTCTCAGCACCGGCCAGGCTGCAGAGGAGCTGTGGCTTGAATACGAGCCCAGCCTGGACTCCGTGAACTGCCCAGGGTTCTCCGCCCCAAACGGCCAGGCACACACACGCCTGAGGGCCGTCGACGAGGCTGCTGCTGCCTTGCTGCTCACTGCCTGTGCCCAGCTGCTCAGGCCGGCACGCTGGTGATCCCCGGGCATTCGGCCCTGCCTGCCGTGGTCACCGGGGGTTTCGTGCTGCAGCTGGAGGAAAGCCAGCCCCCTTTGCGCTGGGCTCCTCGCTTAGTCTAGTGCTGTGCTGTTTGCCTGATCACTTAGTGTTCTGGACAAATACTGTAAGCAAAGGCAGCGATCATGTGAATTCATCATGGAAGAGGCAGATCGCCCACGCCCTAAACTAAAATTTGGGAGTGCTGACTCTTGTGGCTCATGGACTGAGCACCAGCCTGTGAACCAGGGGGTCGCCAGTTCGATTCCCAGTCAGGGCACAAGCCTGGCTATCAGCGCCAGGTCCCCGGTGGGGGACGCATGAGAGGCAACCACACACGGATGTTTCCCTCCCTCTCTTTCTCCCTTCTTCTCTCTCTCTAAAAATAAGTAAATAAAATATTTTAAACATAAGTAAATAAAACTTGGGAGGAATTAGAGTTAGGAATTCTCTGGCTTAGGGAGCTGTTTCCCTAAGCTCAAAAGCAGAAGCTGGGGGACCTTGTCCTCCCTCCGAGACGCCCTGTCCTAGCTGCCCGGCTGCCCCTTTGTCTTCCTTGGGGTGGAAACGACACCCAACACTGGAGTCACCTGCGGGCCGGATGAGTCAGCAGGGCGCCTTGCGCGTCCAGCTGCGTTCACGCCGCAGCCTCAGAAATGGATCCCGCCGGCCTCTCCGGCCAGGGCGGTTCTATTTTAAGCACCATCAGCAGTTACTAAAAGGGGTGATCTGAGCGAGTGCTCTGTGCTTTTTATGGGTCCACGGGGCTTTTCTCGGGTCTGGTGCTGTGGGGCGGTTTCTGTTCACCCCTGTGTGGTGTGGGGGGCTTGGTGGGTGGAGCCGGAGCGGGGAGCAGAAGGCCCCCCTGATGCAGTAGGGGGAGGGTGTCCTTCACGCACGCACTTCCGGGGCTGCGCGCCCAGTTCAGGCCCTGGCTGGGGCGGCTCCGGGGTGGGCCGAGCACCGGCCTGCGCACCAGAGGGGAGCTCCCAGTCGGTCCGGGCGCAGGCCTGGGGTGCGGGCCGGGTCCCCAGCAGGGGGCGCATGAGAGGCAACCACACATTGATGCTTCTCTCCCCGTCTTTCTCTCTCCCTTTCCCTCTGTCTAAAAAATAAATAAGTAAAATCTTTAAAAAACAAAACCGTTCGGCCCCCACCACATCTCAGTAAGACAGACTTAGCACATTCAGAAGCTGTATCAGTGCATTAACATAAAAGCTAAGTAGATTTTTTCTGTTTCTAATACACTCCTGTGAGCGGCCACTGTGCCGCTCCAGGCCGCGTGGCCAGCTTTGGAAAAGACCCTTGTCCGAAACCGCCCACTGCAGTCCCCTGAGTTTGGGACAGAAGTGTCAAAGACATGGCATGGAACGAGGCATTCGGAAAAGCAGTGCCCCCGCCACCTCCCTGAGCAGACGGCTCTGGCTCTGCATAGGGCTTCGCTCCCTCCCGACGCTGACTTCAAACGTGAGAAGTTCCTTGCTGCGGCAGTGACCCGTTCGGCACCGTCCCTCCGCAGGCCGGCAGCCCGGCAGGCGCCGCAGTGACGCGCGCTGCGCTCAGAGGGCCCCAGTGTGAGGGGAACCCCACCCTAGGGGCGTCCGAGTCAGTTCCTGAAATGCCGAGCACAGAGCAGATACTCAGGTGCTCCTCCAGGTGAATTTTTAGTCCTTTATCCTCCCCGTAATGGTAATCCGCTACTCTTCAGCTCAGCCTTTCTTCCCAGAAGGGGCTGCCTGCCACACTTACAGAACTGTGGAGGCAGCATCCGCGGAACGGGCTAGAACTGGTTTCTTATTTCACAGAAGAAAGAGCGTCCCCTACCGACACCACTGTAGTGCCCGAGATGAGAACCCTTCCACCAGGTGAGGACTTCCCCTGGGCTCTGTCTCCTGGCCTTTTACCCGCTCCGTGTTCGTCTTCACGTCGGCCGCCCGGGCACGTCGCCGGCTCTGCCCGGGTGGAGAGCCGGAAGTGCGGCGCGTTGAAGGTTGAACGGAGGCAGTGTACTCCGGGGGTGTCCGTTACTGTCATCTCGTTCCCGGTGCCAGTTTGCCGGGCTGAGGAAGGGAGACAATGACTCCTGAACCCCAGGAATGAGCGCGCCGCCCCCCCCATGCAGAAGTATTTTGCCCAGAGCAGTGGTACAGGGTGGGGCGAGAGCAGGGTTGCATCGCTCAGTGCTGGAAGCACAGCCTGTCCTTGTGGTACTTACTGATTATTGCATTATTTTTATGTGAACCACCGTAAACCTGCTTTTGCCCCACTCTGTATTTGAAGGACCGTTTTTTAAAATGTTAATGGCAATGTTTTAAAAGTAAGTTAGGAATTTGTTCTGCCTCATTAAGCCCAACTTGTAAAAGACCTCTGTAAAATTACTAACAAAAGAAGATACCAGATTCACTCCACCAGTAACCACTGAGCAATGGAGAATGTATTTATTTTAGTAGTGTGTATGTAAGATTATTCGCAGCCACTGAAAATACTTGCTCGTCATCGAAATTACCCAGGGGGCCTGCCGTTGGCGTGTCTTCCAGGGCCTTTGGCACGTCCAGCGCGCACGCGTCCTGACGTGTGCGTCCGCCCGGCGGTGCAGGTGAATTCCGCTCCTGCCGGAGACGAACTCGGGGCGGAAACACTGCAGCCTTTAGCTTCGAGCGATGACTATTCTTCCACCTATTTTTAAGGTTTTGGAACATGCTTGCACACCATTTGCCTTCTGTATAAAAATATTCTGTAGACACTTGTGCCACTTTAAAAAAAGGAATTAAAAACCCTTTGTTAAAAACTATAATTACCGTAGTCTTAAATATTTACTTAGATTTAGTTAAATAATTTGTAGTATTGCCTTCCAAAGATATGGCAGTACAAGGGTGATAAAGTTTAGGTGAATTCTTTAATTACCTAAATAAATTAATATTTTTACTACTGATTGGCTTTTAGTAACCCCTCAATTGTCATTCCAAAACACCCATAATTTGAATGAGCTATGTTAATTTTCCCAATTTAATTTTGTCCCTTCAGTTTGTAAAACTACTTCTCCCGATACACTTCATTATTTTCTGGGTGAGTATAGGTGATGTCGTGGTTGGCAGTCGCTGGCAGTAACTGGTTAGGACTAACCTTCCTGTTATCAGGAACAACTTACATACTACGTCGCTCAGCATAGAGCTTGCCATTAGAAACGACCCAAGGCCCTGGCCCGGCAGCTCAGTTGCTGAGCGCATTGTCCCGATGCTCCAAGGTTACTGGTTCGATCCCCAGTCAGGGCGCGTACAAGAAGCAGCCAGTGAGCGCACAGATGAGCGGAACAAGTCAGCCTCTCTGCCTCCCTTCTCCTCCCTCCCCTCCCCTCCCCTCTCACTAAAACCAATAAGTGGAAAAATTAAAATGGCGCAGAGGTTGAATGTCCTTTGGTCACTAATGAATATTATTGTATTTCATTAGAATAAAGCACGTCAAGGGGACTGACCCTGTGCTATTTTTAGTCAGAAAGTTCGTGTTTTCTAATTGAGATAGAGATATCCATGTGCCAGCCAGTTTAAAATCTGGTTAACTTTGCATCTTACGCCCTCTGTTCTTCTGTTCAGTTAGCGTCTGTCTCTGAGAAACTGTATCGATCTGAAGATGACAGCTGACGTGTCGTTATGGCTTTCAGTGGTGGGGGGGGGGGAGCAAAATGATCAGAATGTGCGTTGCTCCAGGGGAATGAGGTGTATGTATGTAACGTAAAAAGTTTTCTGGCTGAAGTGTAGAGGGAGACCGTACTGTGGCCTGGTTCTGTGACATCTGTGCCGTAGATGGTAATGCCTGACCTTCTGGAATCATGAGGTACCCTGATCAGGTGCCAGTCCCAGATCAGCAAGCTCTGGTGACAAGACTGGGCGGAGGGAGAAGGAAGAATTTCTGGAAAACCCTTGCAGTCACTGTGTGCACGCTGGGACCACCCCGAGCCCAGACCGGACCCACAGCTCCCCCACTGGGTCCCCATCTGAAAGACAAGGGCCTCAGCTCTAACTCACCCCCTACCCCAGGGCACCTGGGGACTGTCTGTGTTCTCCACCCCTGTTCAACCTGCCCAGTCTTCCCATTTCTTTGCCCGCATCTGTGTCTTTGATGGTTGGTCAAAAGATAAGCAAGAATAATTTCTCAATATACATTTACAACTTGCAAATTTTTCTTTTAAGGAAATAATGTAACAAAATTTCTTTTAGGTTGTTACCTATAATACCAGAAGTAAAAAAGCTACTTCTTAATCTTAGTTTTAAACTGTGCTTTTAAATACGATTATGATGCAAATACTGTGACTATAACGGTCTTTAATGGGGTCAAGAGTGAGAAAATTGCAACTCTAAGAAGCTAAACAAATCTGATTAGATTTAATGTGTCCTTTTCACTTTCTGCTGAAAGCCCTCTTAAAGACAGATTATCTCAAATTTGTGTTGGATTTGAAAGTACTGTTTTTACTTCCTCTGTTTCACTTCTGTTGCTCTCTCTCTCCCTCCCCCACGGGGCCCTTTCCAGTCTCGTCAGGCTGGGGGGAGATGCCCAGCGTGCACTCAAAGGCCGAGAACTCTTGGGGAGAGCCGTCCTCCCCCTCCACCCTGGTCGATAACGGCACAGCAGCCTGGGGCAAGCCACCCGGCAGCGGCAGCGGATGGGGGGACCAGCCCACGGAGCCAGCGGTGACCTTTGGGAGAGCCGGCGCGCCAGCCCCAGCCCCAGCCCTGTGCAAACCAGGTAGGACGAGCCCCCGGTCTGCCCGCCCTGATGGGCGGGTTAGAGATGGGTCAGAGCAGTTTCTCTAGAGGGATGCTTCCTGTGGGATTTCAAGAATTAAGTCTTAGGACACTTTCCTCATTTCATTTACGCTTTAAAATTAACATTAAACTGAGGCCGTGAAGAAACATTTGCTGTGTCTGATACACGAGCACCAAGGAGCTTCCCGAGAAGCCCAGCTTCCCTTTTCGAAAGATCAATAATTAAAAGGACCAGAACGGTACAGCGTGTCTGCCTGACACCGCCCGTAGCCTCCACCCGCGCCTTCCTCAGCGCAGCCGCCCGGCTGCTGCCGCGAGCGGTCAGAGCCGGTCGCCTTCCCTGTCTGCGGCTGGGGTCTGGCACGCGCGCCACCCTGCCCAGCGGGCCAGCGCGTCCCGCCTTGCTTTTGTCTTGGAAACAAAAGTCTGCTCTGGGTACTCCAGGTTTCCAGGCTCATGCTTTCTTTCTCCTCTTCTCTTTTTTCCCTCCCTTCCTTTCTCTCTCTCTCTCTCTGTCTCTCTGTCTCTCTCTTTCTGAAAAAGGGATGAAAACCGTGCTGCATTTCCCTCCCGCTATCTGAGAGTGTGATAGTGCACAGATAGAAATGTATTCAGATAGAAATGTATCCTTACAAGTGTTCAGAGCGCGTTTACCGCGGGGAATTCTCTGAGGTGTGGGTGTTTGACAGGGTGATCCTTTTGATACTAGTGTGAGACTGCTGACTGAAGTCTGAGGTTAAAATCAACTGTTCCCACGGCTGCAGAAGCCGCACATTTTCTCTGGACACTCTGTGTGTCTTAGATCTTAAAATGCAACTCGAATAGCCAGCGTCTCGGCCCCTGGCTCACCCCGGGCAGCGTGCTCCACGTCTGCCGTCCTGCTGGACCGTTTATGCCCTTCCTGTTGCCCCCGTCCCGCATCTGAAGGAGAAGCCAGCTTCTGGGTGTCGGGGGTCATGTGCCGTTTGGAGGCGGCACGTCTGTCTGTCTGATTGGTCCTCAGAGGCCCGACGATGCGCCCGTCGGCCTCGGGAGCACCACCCCTCCATGGCCTGCAGTCCCCGGCGGACTGTGCCACCCGTCTTTGGCCTACTTAAGGTTCTCCCGGGAAGTGGACATTTTAGATAAATTTGACACCAAAACTCACGGAGAAAAAACAATACCCTGAAATAAAGGCTCAGTGCTCAGCCTGTAGCTCCACCTGCCTGGGCCGCAGCTGTCCCCTCCAGGTATTCCGGGGCAGCTCCTGGGGGCTGGTCGGAGACAGAGGCCTCGGCATGCAGCCACAGACCTGCCGCGCCCCCCACGGTCCCCAGGCGACTCCTGGGGTCACGCTGGGGCACCCTGGTCAACACAGCCGACCGCTGCAGGTTTGGGTCCAGCGGTGACATTTTCAGGGCTCTGTGTGTTGCTGGCCATCATCCCGTGTAGAGACGGCCACTGTCTCCCGTGGCCCAGGGATTCGTGTGAGAATGTCCGTGCGCCCACGAGACCCGTCCCGTGGGGTCCGCCCGGGGTTGGAGCAGCACGGACGAGAGAGGGCTGGCGTTCGGACGGAAGAGCGCATCCACTGGGCCCTTCGGTCTGGGGGAAGACAGGTGACAGCACCGCTCCTCCAGATGACGGGATGACCCATCTGATGAGTTCGTGTTCGCTCTCTTTCTAGCTTCAAAATCTATGCAAGAAGCCTGGGGCGGCGGTGGGGACGACATGAGCCTCGGCCCCGGTCAGTGGGAAGATGAAGAAGGGGGCGTGTGGAACAGTGCTGCTTCCCAGGAAAGCGCCTCCTCCTGCGGCTCCTGGGGGAACGCCCCCAAGAAAGGACTCCAAAAGGTGTGCGCGCGCTCGGGGGAGGCAGGACGCGCCCTCGGACACGCACGCAGCTTCGCACGGCGCCCTCAGCTAGCGGCGGCGGCGGGTCGGCCTTGGGGCCCGAGGACCCTGGGAGTCCCCGGGAGCCTGTCGGGGGTCTCCGCTCAGCGCAGGGTGGGGTTCTCTGGAGGCCGCACGGGACCGCTCTCACAGCAAAGCAGATGCGGAGACGGGCGGTGGGGGGGGCCGGTCGGCCAGGAGACCCGGCCGTGCGCACGGCAGCGCCTTGCTTCTCCCGCCCCTCCCTCCGCAGGGTCTGTTCCAGAGCACGGAACTGTTTTCCACTTAAGTGCCTCCCATTAACGTGATGCACTGGCTATTTTTTAAACAGATGCTTCTAAATTTCTCAGTGTTCACTGCTAATGCAGTACACGTTGAAGGACGTGGGTCCCGAGCCCCAGAGGTCCGTCCCTGGGCTGCCGGGGTGGGCCGGTCAGTTGTCCTGAGACACGCAGCCGCCCCCTGGGAAAGCCTGAGCAATACAGGCACCCCAGGAGCCCCTAGGTGGATCACAGGTGCAGGTGTGAAAGGTGAAAGGACGCGGTGCGAGAGAGTTTTCCAGGCGCACTGCAGGGGGGGCCGGTCTAGCCGTGCTGCCGGCCTGAGCCGGTGGCGGGGGGGGCGTGGAAACGGTGGCGGGCGAGGACACAGCTGCCTGGCAGAACGCCAGCGTGTCCGGAGTCGAAACACAGACGGCCGCCTGCAGAAAGGGTTTGTCATTCACGTCGAGGGGAAGGCTGCCCTCCCTGGTGTGTAAAGAAGGCCCCGGAAACTGGTCTTTTTAAGACCAACCAGTACCCGGATAGAAAACACGCAGAGCTTGAACAGACGACTCACAGGACAGGGACACAGACAGCCCCTAGCCCGGGGCGGGGGAGGGGGGGGCTGTCGGCCTGGCCCGCGGCGTTCAGTGCAAAGCGGCGAGAGAGGCGCCGTCCCTAACCTGAGACCCGCAGAACGCCGCTTTCATGAGCACGCTCTGCGGGGGGCGGGGGGGGAGCCACGCCGTGCCGCTTCGCAGGCAGCACGCACGGGAGCGCCGCCCAGCGGAGGGCGCTGCCTGCCCGAGTGACCAGCTCTGCCCGGCACGCCCTCTGGCCATGGGCCTGGCAAGTGGCGTTTGCACACAGTTTTCTGTTGCAGCGTTTTTCAGTAAAAAAAAAACAACTGCACGCACATGACGGGGTAGCTGCTCCAAGTGTGCCGCGTCCATGTTGCAGAAAGCTGGACAGGTGTTTTGAAAGGGGTCCCCTCTGTGCTCATAGGAAGGGGTCGCCGAAGTGGCAAATAAAAAGGGTAAGATGCATACAAAGTGAGTGTAATACACTTGTGTCCAGTACTGCAGTATCGTGTCACTTTGGGGGGAGGGGAGAAAGGACAGAAGTGTGTCTGAGTGTGAGCACACGCGCACTGGTGGCCCCCACGGAGCTAGAAAGTCTGCAGGGGTGAGGAAGGCGCCGCTCAGGGTGGGCTTTCCTCGGAGAGAGCAGGGGGCGGGCGGGCGGGGGCGGGAGACGCGTGCCCCTCCCCCGCTGGCAGGTCGTGTGCACGGAGCAGTCAGTGTTCGAGCGGTTTCCACTGAGGAGAGCGCTCAGTTATCAGTGAGCGGAACCCGGAGGCTAAAACCAGGGTTCTCGGTCGTGAGGGGTAGCTGGGATCGCAGGCATCGAGGAGGGGAGTCTTCTCACAAGCAGGCTGGCAAGTAACCCAGTTGGGGGGGGGGGCAGCCACAGCGCGTGGGGAATTAAACGTCGTGGGGTCCTGGGAGCTGCTCGGGCAGCGCTGTGGGGGTGTGCTGCTTCCTCAAGGAGAGGCCCGACAGGTGAGGTGGGTGCCCCCCAACGCCGCCTCCGCACCCCCGGCCTGTGGTCAGGGTGGGCTCCATTCTGGAAAGCCCCGTGGGGGAGGACTTATTGTGCTGTGTGGGGGCAGCGGGGCTGCAGCTTTGTGACTGGAGAGGGAGGGGGGAGCCCTGGGGAGCCCCTCGCCCCCTCTGCCCTCAGGGCCGTGAGCAAGGAAGAGTTGATACAATTAACAGGTTTTTCTGTTCCTTCCTTCTTACTGCCTTTTTTGTTCTGCTGGAAGGGACCCCCTGCGTTCTGTCATCTTTTAGAACAAAGCTTACGAAAGGGGGGGAATGTAGTTTTTAGTGAACTCCACGTAGTATTAATGTTAGCAGAGGGCTGTGTCAGGGGGACACTTCCTGCAGGTATTTGATGCTGGAAGTGACGCGTGCTTGTGACGAACTAGAGTCATTGTCGGGAGCAGAATTATCTTGCCTTAAACCCACAAATCCCCCGTGTGGCCCCCTGCAGACGCCCCTGCAGCGCCCCACAGAGCCAGCCACAAAACAGTGTCAGGGACACAGCACTCTCCGACAGTAGCACAGAGAGATTCGGGGACTCGAAGTTCTGTGAACTTCCGGTGCCTCCCATGACTAGAAGAAATACACGCAAATGTACTCACGGGCCCCCCACCCACACTCGTTCCAGGGCGTGAAAGCATCCGGCAAGCAGGACGAGGCCTGGATCCTGAACCGGCTCATCAAACAGCTCACGGACATGGGCTTCCCGGTGGGTGCCTGGCTCTGTCTCTTGTTCTGCTGCCCTGCCCCCCACCCCCTGCTCCGTGGGTTCCCTCCCTCACGGCCCCCGCTGTGTCCTTTCCACACTCCTGGTGCGACAAGGAAACTCCCTTTCATCTCGGCACTTGCGTTTAGGGCTCACTGCTTTGAACCACAGTGAAGAGCCGCGTCCCTTCTCTCAAGGAAGGCACGAGGGCCTTTTCCTAGAATTAAATTTTCACTGGTTCGTGCAGTCTTAGAGTTTCATTCATGATTAGAAGTGAGTTTATATTAGTTTGCACAGCAGATTGACAAAAGTAGTAAGAGAAAGCTTGGTGTGGAGGAGAAGCTTCGTGTCCAGAAGAAGAACCCTAAGGGGGCCTGGTCGGTTCCTGAGTTTCAGGGGGTGTGCAAGGAGCTCAGAATCACGGACGTGCCTCTGAGTGGGGCCGCGGTCTGTCTGGGCCCTGCGGTCGGGGGCAGAGAGCAGGGGGGCCGCCTGCCCTGCCTGTGCCAGGCAGTCCCTCCAGACGCCTTGTCTCCACGCACGTATGCAGTGGGTGCTCGTCTTGTGAGCGCTGTGGACGTCTCCTGAGAGAGAGTCCGGCGGGGCCCCGGTCCGGAGGGGGGAGCTGCCTGCTCCACGTGGGATGCAGGCCCCCCCCCCCGCCCTGAGCAGGGCCCCGGGCTCGGCGGGTCGTGGGAGGGAGACGAAGGCCAGTCACAGGGACCATTGTCACAGTGAGCCTCTGTGCTTCGTTTCTCGTTCCCCGGGGGGTTAACAGCAGAGCCCGGAGTCCCTGAAGGAGAGGGTGGGCCTCCGAACTTCAGCTCCCGCGCTGACACTCGCACAGCTGCAGGGGCACGGGGGTGGGTGGTGCCGGGGCGGTCCTGCTGTCCTGGCCAAGGTGTGCGCCTCACTCTGGGCGTCAGTGCTCGAGCCGGCTCGCTGCGTTGTGTCCTTCCAGTGGCTTTTTATGTGCAAAACACTCTCCTCGAACCGCAACAGTGAAAAGAGGGTATTTCCGGTTCTGAAATCTAATAACATTGGGTTAACAACAAGCACTTCCCTGAGCTGATAGTGATTAACTCCTTGTAAGCGTTTCCTTCGGCTAACATGCCCGTCTAACGAAAACTCTGTTTCCCCCCAGAGAGAGCCAGCCGAAGAGGCCTTGAAGAGTAATAATATGAATCTTGATCAGGCCATGAGTAAGTAGCGTGCACACTCAGAGTCCGTCTTCTCAGAGGTCCCAGCGCGAGCATTGCACTGTAGCCGTGGGTTACTGGTGGAACCCGTGCTGGGCGGACAGGACCAGCCCCAGCGACGGGAAACTGTGTGATGTGCCCTAAGCCCGGAGCAGGTTTCGGGACTGTGGGCTGTGGGGACAAAGGACCAAATGCCACCTTGAGCCATGTTTGCTTTTTCACCTTTTTCCAGAGCTTCGACAAATAGATGAGGTCCCCCCCCCCCCGCCCCCTTTTTTGAGGAAGATAGTCGGGACACTCGTGGAGAAAGGCCCCAGCGCACACGCCAGCCCCCACGCCGCACTGGCTGAGCTCTGGCTCTCGCTGAGACTGCCGGGAACGAGCCCCTGGTCCTGGAGCCGCCCTGCCTGTGACTGTCACGTTAGGGGCTCCGTGTGAAGGCGGGTCGCTCTGGTCGGCCGGCCAGCCCTGGCCTCGTTTTACCCACGTCTCTGTTCGGAGACCCGATTTCACACACATTTCTCACAAGTACGCCATGTTTCTTCATCATGAAAACTGGCTGACAAGGGTTTAACGTGTCCCTGGGCGAGGTGCCTGCCCGTAAATTTCTTGGGCTTTTAGACTCACACCTGCGCTGCTGGCTACACTCTTTTTTCACCGGTCCCCTCGTGAAGCTGCCTCTTTCCCACAGCTTCGCTGCACACGGCAGGCACTCCCCTGCCCTGCCCTGCCCTGCCCGGGCGTCCTCGCGCGCACAGGCGGCAGCTCACCTCTCCTTTTTCTGGAGGCACCGCCTTGTGGGCTTGTCAGCGCTGAACCGGTGGCCAGGAGCCCCATCCCCGGCCCGAGCGGTCCCACCTGACCCACACGCTCCCTCCGTGGGGTGCGTCACAGCCTCGCGCTCGGGGACCCCGCCGCCAACCAGAAGCACCGAGACGTGCAGACGTGGCACTGAGTGGGCCACAGAGCACGCCGGCCTGCTGGGGGGGAGCTGGGGGCAGGGCACCGTGTTGTTGGGCCTGAGCGGGGAGCGAGTGTGCGCAGCAGCCGGTTCCCACCGCCCAGCACGCTCCAGAGGGCCCTGGGAGTGCTGCGGCCACTGATCCGGGCCGCCGGAGGACGGCACCGGCAGATGAGTGCCCAAGGACGGGAACTGCCGACGGCGGGGACCCACTTCGTGACCGCGTGCAGGGCCCGTGCAGGGCAGCAGCTGCCAGAGAACGGGCGGGGCGAGCTGGGGGGACGCTCCCCACCTCTTGTCACTGAGAAACAGACAGAGGGGCTGAGAGCCAGTGGGCGGCCTCCCCAGACAGAGCGCCCCAGGGCCCAACTCTGGACTCCGCTGTCCTCGCTGTGTTGTGTCCCTGGCCGCTCAAAGAGCCCTCGCGACTGGGGGCACCCAGCAAATGGAAACGGTGGCTGTGGGGGGACAGGGTAGCTGTGTTAGACGGGTGGCTCGGGGACATCCCCTCGGAGAAAGTGCCCGCTGAAGGGGGGTGGTCCCGGGAAGAGCCCAGCCCAGCCCCGAGGGGCGGTGTGGCCGGATGGAGGGGGGGCTGAGAGCAGCACCCCCCGTTTCCTGGGGGTCGAGGGTCTCGCACTCAGCGTCGCGGCCGACCCTCAGGCGGCTGTCTCAGGGGTTTCTGGCGTGCTCTAGGTGCTCTGCTGGAAAAGAAGGTGGACATGGACAAGCGTGGACTGGGAGTGACCGACTACAATGGAATGGTCACCAAACCCCTTGGCTGCCGCCCACCAATCTCCAAAGAGTCTTCCGTGGACCGCCCCGCCTTTCTTGACAAGGTGTGCATTCAGGTGTTTTTTGTCTATTTAACCAGAGGTGTCTTTCATTTTATCTGTGTCTGTTCTGCCGCATTTTTGCTCCTCTAATTCTTTTTTTTACGCACATCCCGTACGTGTCCTTGGAAACTGCCGCGTGCCCTGTCTGCGGGCAGACACCGCACACGGCCCACCCTGTCTTTCTCCGTTCAGGACGGCGGCCTCGTGGAAGAGCCCACGACTTCACCATTTTTGCCTTCGCCAAGCCTGAAGCCCCCCCTTTCAAACAGTGCACTCCCTAACCAGGCCCTGGGCGGGGTCGCCTCAGGGCTGGGCGTGCAGAACTTGAATTCTTCTCGGCAGGTAAGGCCTCGCTCGGGGGGTGGGGGGGCTCTGTCTTGTCTGCCTTTGAAAAGGCTGGGGCACAGGCTTTCGCGTTTTAACCAACGTCGTGTTCTAGGGTGTGGTCAGACGCGTAACGGTGGTCACGACCCTGTAAACGTCGTCTTCCCGCGACTTGCTGGTAGCGGGGCTCGAGCTCAGTTCCTGAGATTTAACCACATTGGAAGAAAAGCTTCAAAATTGTATTTCTTTTCCCACGCACCTAAAGTGTATTTGAGTTCAGCTCCCTTGGTGTGCTAACTTACTGCTCATTTAAACGGCAGACAAATCGAAACCATAAATGTCTTCCTCTGCCGAGAAACACCACCTTGCCCCCTTGTTCTCAGAGAGAGGGAGGGCCTCTCCTGTAAGGTCCTCGGTGACTCTCGGAGCCCGCCAGCGCCTCTCCCTGCCTTGGACCCTCCTAGGGAAGGGAAGTCACTGTCGGTCAGGCCTGAGGGCGGGCCGGAGGGTTTTGATTGGCGGCTGGCTGTTCCATGTCCCTTTCCGGCCCCAGATTCTCCGGAAGGGAAGGGTGTGGAGCAAACCCCGCCCATCCCACCTGGAGAACGCCTCTTCCTGCTGATTTTGTCCTGGGCGAGGCTCACGTGCACACATCTGTGAGACTTCTAAGTAGCTGCGGCGGCACTGAGGGTGGCCGAACAGTCCCAAGCGTGCCTGTTGTCCCGGCCAGCCACCAGCAGTGTGTCTCCCACTGTCTGCAGTGTCCCCAGCTGCCTGGCCCTCGGGGCCTGACGCGGCCAGCCCAGGGCAGTTCGGCGGGACGCCTGCCACCTGCAGGCCACGGCCCCGGGAGCGCGCAGTGCTCCTCGCGGTCTGCTGCCCGGACGTGTCCGTTTGTGCGACGCCAGGGCTCGCCACTGGAGCAGCGCTGTATCGTCCCAGTCCCTTTTCGTGTGATGGACTTATCTCAGGACACTTCGAACCCGGCGCGTCTGTGGTTTAAGACACAGGCTAGCCCCCGGGGCCGATTCTCACCACCCGTAGCCCATTGACACAACAGTTAGTAAAGCGACGCTTTGGCAGGAGTTACGAAGGGATTGGAGACCCTGTTGCATTCCTGTTCAGGAAGACAGATTGTTTGCCACCCTGGTCCTGTAGTTCCGACTCTGTGACGACTCTGTCCCCCCGTCCCCCGCAGATACCGAGTGGCAGTCTGGGCGTGTTTGGCAGTAGCGGAGCAGCACAAGCCAGGAGCATGCCGCCACCGCAGCCGCCCATGCCGCCGCTGAACCCCTCCCAGCCCGGTCTCCGTGCGCAAGTGCCTCAGTTTCTATCCCCTCAGGTGAGACCCGCCGTCGGAACGAGACAGAGCGCACAGTGGGGGTACTGCAGTCCAGCGGCCAGCCCCCGATTGGTTCAGGGCAGTGAGTTCCAGGCAAAAAGGTGCCGTTGACCGTCAAGGTCAGGGCTGGCAGAGCCATGCAGGTGCATGTGCTGCACGGGAGGCTGGGGACACAGTGCTCACTGAGAGGAGTGTCTGCCTCCTCCCACGAGCAGGGGGACCGCTTCCTGAGCCCGTGAACTCAAGAAGGGGCTACCGCCCCCCCTGGGACGAGACCCACTGGTCGGGGGCACGGTGCCATCGACAAGGGGGTGTGCACCTGCCTCCCTTGAGAGGTTCGGCCTGAGCGACAGGGACCCCTGCCCTGAGGCCCGCCTTGCACTGCCTGCAGCCCTTGCCTCGGGCCCGCTGACTGTCACTGTGACGGGGGCACCCGGAGTCACTCCTAGAAGGGAAATGAGGAAGTTAGTGCATAACCAGAATGTTTGGAGGGAGAATCTCCTTCCTTCCTCCTGCCCCCTCCCTTCTTCCTTCCTTATTCCTCGCAGAAGCGTGTTAACTAGTGTTAAGAGGTCCACAAATGTTTTAATACTCATTCACAAGATGGGTTAAGTATCGTTTAGTTAGCAGTTCCGAGTGCGGGGACGACGCAGGGAAGAAGATGCCCTCACAGTGACCCGCTGCCCCGGGCGTGTTTTGTGTCGCGCAGGTTCAAGCACAGCTTTTGCAGTTTGCAGCAAAAAACATTGGTCTCAACCCTGCACTATTAACCTCGCCGGTTAACCCTCAGCACATGACGATGTTGAACCAGCTCTATCAGCTGCAGCTGGTGAGTGGCCGGGCCGTCCAGGTCGCGTTCTGGAGCACGGCGACAGCGCCCCCCGACCCTCACAGCCACGGCTGGGCGTGCGGCGCCTGGCTGATGAGAGGAGTAGGGGCACGCTTCCTTTGTCCTGGAGGCCTTTGCGCTGTGAACTGTCAGAACAGGTAGCCAGTCTTCCACTTGGCGGTGTTTTCCCTGCGTGAGTGAACTCCGGTTCGCAGGGTCTCCCCCAGCCCCAGTTGGGCGTGTGGCAGCTCGAGCTCCGACTGGCCTTCCCCGTCCAGGGCCTCTCGTCTGTTTAACGGTCTCAGTGCTTCTACTATAAAAGGTCGTGACCTTACGTCTAGGGACACGGCGAGTGTGTGTGCACTGAGCACCGCGTGCATTGTTCCTGCTTTAGTACGTGGCCACCTGATCTGCTTAGAGGTCTGTCCCACATCTCTACCTCCTCGGAAATGCCCAGGAGTCATGCAGGGAAAAGGGCCCGTCCTGGGCGCGCTCAGTCCAGCCCGGGGAGCGTCCACTCTCCCCAAGGCACCCCGGCGGGAAGGAGGGGGAGCGTGTCCTGGAGACCGTCACGGTCTTTGGGGAGCGCCCGGGGCTCGGGATGGGGGTCGGGCCACCGCTGGACTGTCAGGGAGACGGGCTGCACCGCAGGGCTCACTGAGGCCCGAGGACCGAGGGCAGGGGTGTCACTTGCAATGGCCGGCACTCGGAAGAGACCCTGACCTCAGGCGGAGAGGACCGGGCACGGCGTCTGCGGCGCTGCTGCTCTGCGTCCTTGACTCGCACGCTTCGCTGACCCTGCGCGTGGGAGGGCCCCGGGAATGCCGCGTCACGTTCAGTGCATTTTGATTTTAAAGCACCACGTACTGTCTCCACATTTTCTCCAGAAAAATGGGGAAAAGAACATTCCAGTGCATTCTACGATTACATTTTAGGACCTGTAGCATTCACTTATGTGAAGTATTTCATTCCTTCATAAGTAATCCTGCAGGTTAAGGAGGCATTTCCAATAGTGCGGTCTCTCCATTTGCTTGGATTCTATTTTCATACAGCCTCTTGCCAAAAACTTCCCAGAAAACCCATGTTGTATGTAAAAACTGACGATATTGAAGTGACATTTTGAAATAGATGACCAAACCTTCTGCATTTGCGTGTGAAAGAGGGTCACGGTCACGGTCGCCGGTTCACGGACGGGGTCTGTGTCAGACGTGTCACGGGTCTGGCTTCAGGCTCCACGCGGTCGGAGCGCGTCTCGCCACACCCGATGCGACTGACGAGCCCGTGAGCCTGCGGTGTTGCGCGCCCGGGCAGGGAACCGCCTCTGAGCCGCCGTGGACAGCCTTAGTCTGTGTCGTTATAAGAATGAGTGGTTTTGGTTTTGTTTTTTTTGTGTTTTTTTTTTTCCATTTTTCCTCTTTTCACTTTAATTTTAGTTTGTACGATTGACCAGGAGAACTCTGATCTCCTCGTTAACTGAGAAACACCCCTGGCATGTTTCCTCGCCAGCACTCAGCAGGGGCGCAGCCTGGGGGTCTCTCTAGGAACCTCTGGGCGCCCCCCACGGAGGGCTTTGGGAGGGCACTTCGCCTTCCAGAAAGGTCCCTTGGCACACAGAATGTGGAAGCCGCCGTGTGGTGGGGGGGAGCGCGGGCCGGTGGCCGTGTCTCAGCGTCCCGGTCGCCCTCTCTGCCGGCAGGCGTACCAACGTTTACAAATCCAGCAGCAGATGCTCCAGGCCCAGCGGAACGTGTCCGGACCCATGAGACAGCAAGAGCAGCAAGTGGGTGCCGGCAGGGCTCGGCGGGGCCGTGGGCGCACGTCCTCGCTGCCCCCGGAGACGCCAGTGGGTGGGCTGGTCCCCTGTCCCGGGCTTCCCCCCCCCGCTCAGCCTCCCCCTCTGCAGGGCTTGAGGTCACCCGGGTCTGGGAGGAGGCGGGCAGTGGGGACTGGCCGGGGTGGCCGGGCCCGCTCACCCGCACACGTCTGCCGCCAGGTTGCGCGCACAATCACGAACCTGCAGCAGCAGATCCAGCAGCAGCAGCGCCAGCTGGCCCAGGCCCTGCTCGTGAAGCCCCCGCCGCCCCCGCCGCACCTGTCTCTGCACCCCTCTGCAGGCAAACCGGCCATGGACAGCTTCCCCCCGCACCCTCAGGCCCCCGGCCTGCCCGACCTGCAGACCAAAGAGCCGCAGTCTTCGCCCAGCACCTTTGCTCCCTACCCTCTCGGTGAGTCTCCGCGGCCCGGCTCGCGCGGGACACGCCGTTCCTGGCAGGCTGCGAGCGGCTCTCGGGCCTCGTGCTGACGGGACAGCTGTAAATACCCCAGTGCGGCCTCTTCTAAGCAGCACTGGCCAAAGCGCCCAGGTCACCTCGTGCCCCTTGTCGAATCTGCGGTCGCTGCGCTCCTGGGCCACTCCTGACTCGCCTCAGCTGCCGCCGTCACCCGGCCTCGGCTGCGGGGAAGAGGGTGGCACGGTTTTCCGGCCAAGGTGTTGGGGTCCCTGTGACCCAGGCGCTTCTTTGAAGTGACAGACCCCCCCGCCCGACCGGGTGTGCGCAGTGGCAGGGAAGGCAGTCGCGAACGCAGAGCCTGCAGACGGGCAGTGTCTCACGTGCACAGGCCTTCGGTCGGTCAGGTGTGCACAGCGTGCGTGTGTGTTCACTGCCGACACTTAGAAACTGCAGTTCCAGATGTAAGTGGCTCCCGGCTTCTCTTGAGTGGCGGCATTCGGGCTGCGTTCCGTGCGGGCCCGGCAGCACCTGCTGGCCCGGGACAAGCGCTGTCCCCACCCAGCCCACTGCCCTGGGCTTGCGCTGTGCACTGGCCCGTGCAGGCACCTGCGCTTGCAGCCCTGACTGAGGGGAGAGCAGAGGCGCTGAGCCCCCTGCTCAGGGCAGAGGTTCACCGGGGCCTGTGGGGCGGGCCTGCGGCTCGGGGCGCCCCTCAGGCTCTGCTGCGCTGCGCTCCCCTCCCGGCGGTGGTACTGTCCGGCTCCGGACCGGCGTCCCCACCCGGAGCTCTGCTCTGGCCTTCCCGCCGCCCTCCCCGCCCTCTTTGTTAGCCCAGCACAGCGCTGGGCCGCGCTGGAAGCCCCCGGTAAACCCAGGGTGGCACAGCATGCCGGCAGAGGCTGCCGCAGCACCCACACTCTCAGGTGGGTCTGCGCCCCAGAAGTCGTTCATAGTGAACTGATGAACACCCTCCGAGCGGACGGTGAAGGCAGCCCATTAGAGGTAGACTGGAGTTACCCTGACCAGCTTGTTCCCGGGCTGGGGGGCCCTTCAGACCACTCCTCCCGGCTCGGAGAGGGGTTTTGATCCAGCGATTTCCACAAGAGACCTGAGATCAGAGAAGGCTCTCCTGGCAGGCTGGCCCTGTCCTGTGTTTCTGTGAGTGGGAGGCCTCAGGACCGCGCCGAGCGCCGGGAAAAGCAGAGCAGAGACCCGCTGGTCTTCCTCCGACGAGGACTGCTCACCGCCTCTCCGCCCGAAAGAGGCGCGGCTCCTTTCCCTCCTTTCCCGCGCCAGTGTTGGGTGTCGAGGGTCCGGCCGCGGACCAAGTCTCAATGACGCTTCGGGCGCGCTTTAGGAAGCCGCCCTGCCCTGACGGGGCCTCTCTCCGTAGCTGGACTGACCCCCAGCGTGAGCGTCGGCAGCATGGACATGACCGGCGGCTTGCCAGTGAAGGACCCGTCTCAGTCCCAGTCGCGCCTCCCTCAGTGGACACACGCCAACCCAATGGACAACATGCCCGGTGCTGCTTCTCCTCTCGACCAGAACCCCGGCAAGCACGGTACGGCCGAGCCCCGGCACCCAGCCGCGCCGCGGGCTCTCCCCTTGCCACCCAGGCTGCAGCTGTCCTCTGGGCGTCAGTGCCGGGAGCTGCCCAGAGAGGCCCTGTTCCCCTGCAGGGACGTGGGGTCCCAGCTGGTTGGCGGCCCGCTCCCTGAGCCCTCCCGCACCCCGTCTTAGCTGCCGGCCCGAGGACGGAGATGCCCCAGAGCAGCAGAGAGGACAGGTCACAGCCTGCATCGTTTCCGCTACATCCGTAGTCCTCAACAGAAACGGTGAACTGCTGAGAAGAGGGTTTTTTAATGAAAGGATAGCATGCAGTAGGAAACCAAAAGCTTAGAAAGGAAGAAGCAAAAACACTAATAAGCATTGGAGGTGACCTCCGTAAGCATTCAGTTTGGTTCTGAATTTCATGGTAGCGTAAGCAGCAGAGGAAATATGATAGGGTGTATCATCTTCTCTTGATACAAAGCGTTCTGAAAGGAAAAAGTCTGATGGCGAGTTCTCCAGGACGGCCGTCACGTGCTGTCAGGGCGCCTCCCTGGGCCAGCTTCCCGCCGTGGCTGTGCGGTCCAGCGGGGTGTCCAGCGGGGCGAGCAGTACAGCTCTTAAAAGAGTTTGCCTTTCGAGGACGAAGCCACTGGTTCTCAGAGAAGGCCGGACTGACCACGCCGGCCGCTCACACTCTGGACGAGGGCCGGACCTGGTGCTCGGCGGGGCGGGCTCAGGGTCCCCGCTCACACGCTGCCCCCCGCTGCGCCCGCAGGTGCTATCCCCGGAGGCCTGAGCATCGGGCCCCCCGCTAAGTCCTCCATCGACGACTCCTACGGCCGGTACGACTTGATCCCGAGCAGTGAGTCGCCAGCCAGCCCTCCGGTGGCGGTCCCCCACAGCTGGTCACGTGCCAAGTCTGACGGCGATAAAATCTCCAACGGCTCCAGCATCAACTGGCCCCCAGGTGAGAGCAGGGGCCACTTCACGCCGCGGCAGGCCGGGACCCTCTCCGGGCCCCAGGGCGGGCAGTGAGGCCCCAGAGACCCAAGGGTCCTGGAGGGACAGTCCCTGGGCGGTGGCTTCCTCACTGGAAAGCCCCGGGTCAGATCAGCGCGGGTGCGGCTGGTGCCACGCGCGTTTCCGTGGCCCCTCCTTTCGGTGGAAGGCGTGGTCGGGCGGCGCTGGGCTCCGTCTGGTGTGGAGTCTCGGGGCTCAGCGTACCGGCCGAGCCGTTTCACGTGGTGGCTGCAGTGCCTGGTTCTGCTCTGTTCCAGAGGGCTGCTGATTTACGAGAGAGCGCCTAAAACGTCCCTTCGGATTTAATGAGCAGGTTATCGAAAGTTTGACTTATTTAGCAGATTATTAAAATTTCCAGCCCCAGCTGGCGTAGCTCCGTGGGTCGAGTGCAGGCTGTGAAGCAAAGGGTCGCCAGTTTGGTTCCCAGTCAGGGCGCATGCCTGGGTTGCGGCCAGGTCCCCAGTGGGTTGTATGACAGGCAACCACCCATCAACGTTTCTCTCCCCTTCCCTTCCCCTTCTATAAACATAAATGAATGAAGTATTTTCAATAAGTAAAACAAGATTTTCGTAGATTGTCATGGAGCAACGTGAAGGTGCCTAATACTCCTGTTTTGATCTTCACTTTCCTTGGAATCAATCTGCCAGAATTTCACCCCGGAGTTCCTTGGAAAGGACTTCAAAACATAGACCCTGAGAACGACCCCGACGTCACCCCTGGGAGCGTGCCCACCGGGCCGACCATCAACACCACCATACAGGACGTCAACCGCTACCTCCTCAAGAGCGGAGGTAAGGCCGCTGCGCCCGTCCGAGTGCGTGGGGGCGCCCGGCGGGCCCCGGGCGGCGGTGTGGGCTCCGAGCGGGTGCGGCCGGAGGCGCGCGGGCGGGCCGCTTCTCCAGCCGCTCGAGGGGTGGCCGGGTGGTGCCCGTGGTGACGACGGAGGTGGGTTTGCCAGGTGTACCAACATCCCATGCTTTATAAACAGTGTAAAGGCCACCTCGGCTTTTCCTGGGGGCCCTGAACTGGGCTGGGGCGTGCGGTGTGGCGGACAGCGGGCCTGGGCTCCGCCGGGGCACAGCTGCTTCCTCGGGCTCAGCGGCGATGGCGGCGTCTCCGCCGGCGGCTGCCGGATGGCTGTGGGAGCTGCTCCGGCCCGAGTGGGTCTACTTGCCTCTCCCCGCCACCTGCCCCCCGCCGCACAGCTCTAAGACAAGCGTGGGGGGGTTCTCGTCCTGGAGGCAGTCCCTGCCAGGAGCTCGCTGTCCCTGCATGTGCCACCAGGGCGGAAAGCCGCCGCCGCGGTCCCTGAGGTCAGCGCCCGCGTGCCCACTGCCCACTGCCCACGCTTGGCTAAGTGCAGTTTCCCTCTGACCACGGACATCACGAGTCCTTCCAGGAAGAGCCGAGAATGGCTTGAGACAAACCTCGGAGGAGTCTGAGCCTGAAGCGTTGGGAGGGCCAGGACATAAAGCTGCGAGCGCACACACACGCACAAGGCGGGCGCCGGTCCGTAGACAGGGCGCACGTGAGGAGGGCGCACTGCTCTCACGGGTGTCTTCACGTGCACTCTGTGTCCCCGCCGCTCGCTTCCCCCCGGGCTTGGAGCCCGCGCCGGAACGCTGACCTGTGCGGGCTCTCTGCTGCCCGTGCGTGGTCCCTGGGGGAGGAGGCCGTTTCTGCGAGCTGTAGCATCTTACTGCAGATGGGGGAGGGGGGAGTCTGCACTGGCTCGTCCCTGCCCGCCCGTGTGTGTGCTCTCCGCTCCTTACAAGGGTGCGCTCGGAGACCTTGGCTGCTCCCCGGACCGTCTAGCTGAAGAGGGGGGCCAAGAGGGAGCCATCTTCCCTGCATCCAGCGTCGCTTTTTGGCATCTCTCTTTCTGCTCGGCGACACGTTTGCCAAGATGAGCATTTGTTTGTTGTGGGGTCACAGTGGACTGCGGTGGCCAGAGCTGGAGACCTGCCCGTGGGGTTTCTGTTGTCCTGGTCACTGCGGGGCTGTCCGGGGAGCAGTGACAACGACACCTCCGCCACCAGCGCCTCCCATGCAGCCGGTGAGGCAGGCGCCCAGGTGTCTGCACCTCCTGGCCGAGCCTGGCCGCAGCAGGGACTGGGGCTGACGGGAGTGACCATTTTTTTGGTTCCCCAAAGAGACTTAAACAGGCCCCCACCCAGGTGCCAAGGCGCCCAACTGCCCGGCCGTCCAGGTGGCTGGGCCGCTCCAGTGCTGCAGGGCGACAGGGAGGGCGCGTCTCAGAGCCGGGGGAGGTGACGGCGCGGGCGGGAGGGCTGTGCAGAGGGCCTGGCTCTGAGCGGGGGCTGAGACGCAGAGAAGCCGCACCCCTCGGGCTCCAGCCTCGACCGGTGCGTTGCCCCCTGCGTCCTCGCAGATGCGTCGAACTACACACGCGCTTTGCGCGAGAGCCGACGCGCGCCCGCACGTTCAGCGCGTTGGTGGCTAAGTGTCAGCCGCACTGGCCCGGCCGACGCTGGATGAGGCAGGCGGAGGTTCGGGAGGGCGGTCCCGTGCTTCTCGAGGTGGGGGGGGCGGCGCTTGACTGCGGCCAGCAAGGCCCTCGGGGGGCCCCAGGCTCTGCACGGACCCCCTCTCCCTCACAAACACCTGTGCCCGTGTCCTCGCCCTTCTAGGGAAACTGTCAGACATGAAATCGACGTGGTCCTCCGGCCCCGCCTCCCACACACAAGCCTCCCTGTCTCACGAGCTGTGGAAGGTGCCCAGGAACACTACTGCGCCCACGCGGCCGCCGCCCGGCTTGACCAACCCCAAGTCTTCCTCCACCTGGGGGGCCAGCCCCCTCGGCTGGACCAGCTCTTACTCCTCGGGTGCGTACCGGTTCCCGTGTCCAGACGGGGTGGGGGTGGCGGCTCCGTGTCCCCTCCACTTACTCTCGGGGGAGCGTGCCTGCGCCCCTTGGGAGCACTCTGGGCCCAGCGCCAGCTGCCGACGCTCTCAGCATCGGCCCTGGGCGAGGAAGCCCACGCAGGTCCGCTCCGAGCGGGCAGGTCCAGCGTCTCGGCACATGCAGGGGTCACATGGGGTCCTGGGGCCAGTCCCATCGACCCTTCCCTGAAGCGTAGGGCTTTCCTGGCCAAGCACAGACCCCCGGGGTGAGTGAGACTCCCATCCTCACACCGCAGCTCGGTGGCTCCCCGGCAGCGCCCTCTGCCGGCCGGCAGGGATGGGAGATGGGCACGGGGCGCCCAGGACCCTGAGGCGGAGCCAGCCAGGCAGCGTGAAGTGCCCGTCCCCTCCTGCTGATCACAGCCCTGTGCTTGGTCTCATGAGTACGTCTCTAGGGGTGGGGAGGCGGGGGCAGCCCTGTTCCCAGCCCCAGGGTCTGCGCAGCGACGCTCCGTGCCGGCGGCTGCCCGCACGCAGGCGGCTCGTTGACCCAGTCCCTCCCTGGCCCGGGGCAGGTTCTGCCTGGAGCACCGACACCTCAGGAAGAAGCAGCAGCTGGCTTGTCCTCCGCAACCTCACGCCCCAGGTACCGTGGGGGGGGCGGGCACCATGACCCTCGAGGGCCCCTGCCCACCCGGAACACTGTCTTTGCACTGGGCACCTCATCCGGGGACGGGGGGGCACGGGCAGCAAGGAGTGGACGCGCCCGGGGGTCTTGGAACCATCACGTACAGGAAGCCCTTTCAGAAAGACGCTTTCCCAACATTCAGTGCACCCGATCCCATGTACGTTTTCTTTGAAGAGCGTAGTGGAAGAAGTCCCGGGAAGCTCGTTACCGCCCCCTGTGCTTCCTCAATCAGATCGACGGCTCCACCCTGCGGACGCTGTGTTTGCAGCACGGGCCGCTGGCCACGTTCCACCTGAACCTGACTCAAGGCAACGCCGTGGTCCGCTACAGCTCCAAGGAGGAGGCCGCCAAGGCCCAGAAGTCCCTGCACATGTACGTGCCCCCGTGCCTTGGCAGCCCCGGCAGGGTCGGGTCGGGTCGGGTCTAGGGTGCGGCGGGCATGCCCTTGGGCTGCCGTGACCGAGCGCCAGCGGCAGATGGACACGGCCCCTTGGTTCTGGAGCAGGGAGTCCGAGGTGTCGGCAGGGCCGGCTCTTCCCGAGGCCCCGCCCCTGGGCTTGCAGACGGCCGCGGTCCGTGTGTCCGTGCCCTGACCTCCTCTTCTTACCAGGGCACCAGGCAGAGTGGGCCGGGGCTCACCCTGGTGTCCTCGCTCTGCTGGAATTGCCCCTTTCAAGACTGTTGTCCAAGTACAGCCGTACGCAGCGGTGTTGGGGGTTAGGGCCTCGACACATGATTTGGGGGAGACAGCATTCACCCTGCAACTGCAGCCGAGTGGCCGTGGCCATGCCCTCCACGAGGGAAAGGCCCCAGGAGAGTGGGCGTAGAGCCCGGGGATGGAAAGAAGACACCCTCCCCCCGCCTCGGGTAACAGCGGGCGTGCAGCCCGCTCGTGTCCCCTGCTGGGCTTAGCAGTGGTCCTTACAGCCCCCTCTTCCCCCCGTTGAAGCACGGGGTATTTTTTAACTTTAATATTTTTGTGTGTGTCTAGAGAGAGGGGAAGTTGGTAGGGGAGAGAAAAGGAGAGAAACATCCATGTACAAGAGAAACATGGATTAGTTGTCTCTGGGGGTCTGGCCTGCTGCTCAGGCCTGTGTCCTAACCGGCCACGTTTCTGTGAGCAGCCGGCGCTCAGCCCCCCGCGCCGGCCACAGCAGCCGGGCTGCGGCCCGGTTTCAGTCAGATGTGCGCAGAGACCTCCTCGGTGACCGCGCTTGAGGTGCCGGCCGGGATGCAAACCACTCTGATCCTGGGTGGTGCTCCGGTTTGCTTGTGCGTTTACAACAACCTCGGGGGGGTGCTGTCCACAGCACCCCCCTGTGCCCGCTGCGAGAGTCCAGAACGAGACGCATTTCGCTCTGGGCCGGGGCGCGGCCGTGGTCGGCAGGAGGCGCGGCCTGGTTCCAGGGTCCCGGGGCGGGAAGCCCTCGGCCCAGCTTCTCCCACAGCGGGGGCGAAGGCAGGGCGGGGCGGCGGCGCAGGTTGGGAGGGGCTGTGTGCTCACGCAGCCCCGGCCTGTGCTTTTGGTTGCTCCTTTGGGGGTTTGGGATAAAGTTGACAGACAGCGTGTCACTTCAAGGGGTGCAGCGCGTCAACATGACGCATTTCGGTGTCGCAGCGTGGTTGGCGCCTCCGTCGCACCGCGTGGCCACCGCGTGTCCCTTCCTCATGGAGAGGCCACGGAAGGTCTGCTCTCGGAGCAGCTGCCCCGTGTCCGTGCGGGTGGTTAAACTGCCGCCGCCCGGCTGAGCGTCCCGCCCCAGAGCCCACCCCTCCTGACGGGAAGTTGGCGCCCTCCGGCCCACGCCCCCAGTTCCCCCCGCCGCCGCTGTCCTCCCTGCTCCTGCCAGTCTGGCTCCTCCACACCCCGCGCCCAAGTCCTGCCCGGCCGCGGCTCCTTGTCTGCCTGCCTGCCTCTCGTAGCTGAGTCACGTGCGTGCGTGTAAGCGTGTGTGCGTCTTGTCCACTCTGCCCATTCTTGCGTCCGCCGATGGGCGCCGAGGCCGCCCGTCTTCCAGCCGGGTGGTTTGGGCTTCTGTTGTGGAGCTGCGTGAGGCCCCTGTATCTGTCGGATGCTGAGCCCTCCTGGAAGAGACGGTCAGCGAACAGTCCTCGCTGCACAGGCGTCTTGCCGTGCTCAGTGCTCTCCTCCGCCGTGCGGGCGCCTCTCGGCCCTGCGGGCTCTCCGGCCGGCTCGTGCCGGTGTTGCCAGTGCTTTACGCGTCCTGTCCAAAAAGAGTGGTTGCCAAGGTTAATGTTAAGGAGCTTTTTCCTGTGTTTTCTCTTAGGAGTTTTATGGTTTCGGGTCTCACGTTTAAGCCTTTAACTGATTTAGTTAGTTTCTGTGAGTGGTGCAGAATAGAGGTCCGGCGTCATTTCCGTGGGTGTGCCTCTCCGGTTTCCCCGCGGCGTGTGTTGGAGAGACGTGCGTCCCCGCGGCGTGTTCTGGGCACTCTTGTCCAACAGCAGCCGGCTCTGGGGGGCGACGCCCGGGCGCTCTGTGCCGTCCGTCTCCGTCTCTCTCCGTGCCGGCACCGCCCCATCTTGGTTCCCGAGGTGTCCTCGTGGGCTTGGAAATCAGACGGCGTGATGCCTCCAGGCTTGTGTGTATCCGCGTCGCTTCCGCTCGTTCGGGTCTTTCGTGCTTGCGTACGCATCGTGGGGTTCTTTGACTGTCTCTGGGGGGAAACCACTGGGATTTTGATTGGCTTTTCATTGGCTCTACAGATGGCTTTGGATTATGTGGACGTTTTAACAGTTTTAATCCTCCTGATCCTTGAACGTGGGATATCTTTCCGTTTGTATCTTCAGTGTCTTTCGCTTCCTTGGTTAAATTTACTCCCGAGTGCTTCCTGGTTTTCCTGCTGCTGCCGTGCACGGGGTCTCCCCAGCGCGTCACTGTCAGTGCACAGAAGCCGCAGGGGCGTCCGTGTCCTGCTGCTGCACTGCTGACCGCAGCGGTGAGCCCCTGCGGTCCTTCGGCTGCGTCTCCGGGGTTTTCTTCATGCAAGGTCATGCCATCTGCAGATAATGACAGTCCCATGGGTTCCCAGTTCGGGTGGCTTCTGTCTCTTCACCTGGCCCACTTGCTGTACGGGCCCCGGCACCGTGTTGAAGAGCAGCAGGGGGGAGGGGGCGCCCTCTGGTCTCTGGTCTAGAGGAAGGGCTCGCCGTGCGGCCTCTGTTCCCTCCGCGCCCTGCCTGCTGGGGGTGTTGATCACGCGCCACACGCCGTTTCCGTATCCATTGCGATGGTGATACGCTTGGATCCTTGGTTCTGTAATGCGGTTTGTCACGTGTGCGGGGTTGCAGGTGTTGAGCCCTCCGCATCCGAGGGAAGAATCCCACTTGATCAAGGTGCATGACCCTTTTACTGTGCTCCAGAACTTGGTCTGTTAATATTTTGTTGAGAATTGTTTGTACCTAGCTGAGTTTTGGTCAAGATGGAGGCATAGGTAAATATGCTTTGCCTCCTGGTACGACTGCAGAAAAAATTACAACCAGGACTGGAAACAGAGAGTGCCCAGAACAAACTAGCCTCTCCGTGGCTAGTCCAGCTGCAGGGCTGTCGGCGTCGTTTCTCTGGGCAGAACCGGGTCTCAGCTTTGTCGCTCTTCTCCGGCAGGTGTGTCCTGGGAAACACCACCATCCTGGCGGAGTTCGCGGGCGAGGAAGAAGTGAACCGCTTCCTGGCCCAGGGCCAGGCGCTGCCGCCCACCTCCAGCTGGCAGCCCGGCACCGGAACCGGCCAGGCGCGGCTGGGCGCCGCGGCCAGCTCCCACGGCCTGGTGCGGAGTGACGCCGGCCACTGGGGCGCCCCGTGCCTGGCGGGCAAAGGGAGCAGCGACCTGCTGTGGGGCGGGGTCCCCCAGTACTCGAGCAGCCTGTGGGGCCCGCCCAGCAGCGACGACGGCAGGGTCATCGGGAGCCCCACGCCACTGAACACCCTGCTTCCCGGCGACCTTCTCAGCGGGGAGTCCATCTAGGACCGCCAGGACCCCGCGGGCGCCACAATCATCCATCAGCACCGGGGCGGGACGCGGACCCTCTCCGGGCCGGGCGTCGCGGAGGACCCGCTCGCCGCGCAGCCCGGCAGCCCTTCCAAGTACCTCTGCCCAGGACTGAAGACGGACCTCGGCGCGGCCCTTGCGAACTGTCCCGGGACGGTGCGGGCCGCGCCTGGCCGGCGTCCCTCGCCAGGGACAGGACGCTCCTCATGGCTTTTCATTCTGTGTTGTCTCACGTTCGTGTGGCGTGTCGTCATTTTGATTTTTTAAGTATAAAAGCTGCTTAGAATAGTTCTATCATGAAGGGCACTTTTCAGATTGTGGGCTGGAAAGGGTTATTTTATCAAAGGGGGGGAGGGAGGGGGGAGGGAGGGAGACGAGAAAGCCTATTTAAAACGAGCCTGTGACGATTATGCACATTACCAGAGGCGGACCCCGCGGTCGGGGGGGCTGGCGCTCGCCACCGGGCCGCGGCCCCGCGAGCGGGGCGGGAGGGGCGGTCTGCCATCTGTCCTCCGTCCCCGCGGGTCCGCCCACGCACATTACCCTTGTCTCATTGCTTTTCCATGTCATTGTTTTTATCCCAAAAAATATTTTTTAAAAGTTTAGACATATCAAACATGCAAATACTTGAATCCAGCAGGCCATAATGAAATGTGAACACTTTCTAAGTCTAATTCTACACTTCCAGGTCGGCATCCGTACGCAGAAACAGGCTCTAGGAGAAATTTCTAAGTTCACAGCCTATGTGTGTGCGTGTGTGTGTGTGTGTCTCCAAACAAGCGAGTGTGTGCGCGTGCGCATGTGCACGCCCCCGTGTCCGTGCGTCCGGCGTGTGAGGGCCCGACCTCGGGCCTCCCCTTGATTCAGTGTCTGCTTCTCCTCGGGCGTCAGTCCGGCGTCCGGCGTCACTCGCTTCTAGCTTTGCACTGAGTGTCCCGCCCTCCTCCGGCCGGTCCGCCGCGGGCGGACGAGGACTCGCAGGCCAGGGCCGCGGCGCTTCACGTGTAAATGTTTACTCAAGGACTCTGTTCTCGCGTCTAGAACTTACCGTGTGTATCTCTGGAGAAATAATATGTGTACCTACCTTTAGCAGCTTTTTATTGCGGACTCATGCAAGAAAACTATTACCAGAGTATTGCACCATTTTTCCACTCGGAGTATCAAGTTCAAGAGAAAGACTGTTGCCGGACCGCGGCCACGCGTCCTCGCGGAGGGCGGCAGTCCCGCGGGAGGAGCGGAAGCGAGCACTTGGACGTGGGTCGTGACTGCTTTCGGAGGGGCCCGTGGTGGGGGCTCCTGCCTGTTTACAGACCTTTTTTCTCCTTCAGACTTTAAAATAAAAAATTTTAAAAAGGAATTTAAAAAAAAAGAAAAAAGAAAAAAAAAGACTTCCGTCGTAAAGAAACCTATTTTCAGAACGCAGACGCGCTACTTCAGAGCTCTGGGATCGAACAGTGTTGTTTCCCCCCGGCCGTCGCCGGGGGCTCTGTCGGTCGCCCCCCTCCGCCCCGGCGACTTGGCGTCGTGGTCACTGTCTTGCACACGCGGAAGCGCGCTCAGGAAAGCCGGGGTTCCCGAGGGGCGGCTCCACACCGTTTCATGTATTTTGTAACCCAACTCCTAGCACTGAAGATGTTATTAAAAAACAAAAAAATACATAAAAAAAGAAAAAAGAGGAAAAACACACAAAGAAGAAAAGTACCTAATCTCTAATGTGTAGCAGTTACATATTTACCAAATAATGGACTCAAAAGAAATAGATGTTTGAAGAGTGCTTTATATATTAAAAATTGCTTTATGTTTTAAAAAAAAAGAATCAATGTTTTGATTGTTTTGCAAGAAAGAAAGACAATGGCATAACATACCCTCACGTATGTTTTAAAAATATATATATATGAACTCTGTGCTCCCTGCCTGCTCGATCAGGAAACTCTTGTGCATTACATTTTTTTTAATTCGCTTTTTAATGGTTTTATCAAAACGAAACAAAACAAAAAAAAAAAAAAAGAAAAGGCAAACGAGAAGAAGCAGGCCCCGCAGAACCGCGGGTCTCCGGAAGCTGGTTTTCTAGAGGATCACGAACTATGCACACCTGGGTCCCAGGCCTGTTCCCCGGGTCAGCGTGTGTGCGGCTGAACGGCCCGCCCTTCCTCGGAGGAACCGCGTCCCATGGCCATTGCGTGCACTCGCTGTACTTGATGTACGCACACCTGCCGAAGTGTATCAAATATGCGGGCGTGCATGCGTGCGTGTGCACGCGACACACGGCTCCCCAGGCCGCCGTCGGTAGCGTTGAGCTGTAGAAAAACTGACGTTTGAAAATTGGGGATGGGAATAAAGAATCTGTTTGTTTGTTTTTGTTTTTTCTGTTGGGTTTTTTTTTTTTCCTGACCTCTCATTTTGAATGGAAGATTTCTAACTCTGAGATTAAGAGACAAGTTTGTGGCTTTTCATGTTTTTTCCTCATAGAATGTGATTGTTGAAGAACACGCACCGGAAGTTGCTTTCAAAAGTACAACGCTTTGTTGAATCTTAATAAATCGCAATTTTTTTCTTGGCTGTTGAAATAAATGTGGTTTTTTTTTTTCTTTTTCAAAGGCAGATGTCATCAATTTTCACTTTGTAGGTACTGAGAGAGTGTCGACCTGCTGAGTGTGACAAACCCCCGTCTCTGTGGTGGCACCCTTCCCGTCTGTATCGTTAGCCAAACCCCGAGTTTCGGGTGTCCGATTGCACCTTCACCACCACCTGCGTGGTGGTGGTGCAGTGAACACTGAAGTCGCATTCCCGGTCGCCGAGAGGTGCAGCAGGGTGGGTGTCTGAGCTCTGGCACCCGGTGGTAACCACCGCTTCTGTGGGGCTGTCCCCCGAACAGCAACGCCTGCCGCAGGCCTGGCCTCCACTCCAGATGGCTCCCCGTCATCGTCATGGAGACCGGAGGCTCCCCCAAGCAGACCATGTCTGCAGCCGCCCGCACCCACCTGCGACCCAGCCTGGGCGTCAGAAATCCGGGGAGAGGCGAGCATAGTGACAATCCTCTGTGTTTCCCAGACGTCTGCACTGTCACCGCAGTCTTGCAGGCGGAAGTTTGAGCTCGGAACACTGACCGTGAGCTGCGGTGCAGGGCCAGGCACCTGCTCCATCAGGAGTAACAAAACCAGCCTCTGGGAGACAGCCCCCGCCGCCCCGTGTGGCTCCTTGCTCAAGAGACCAGCAGACCAGTGTCCCTTGTCTCCCGCTCCTGTGCGTGAGTCCTTGTTTCAGCAAGAGTACGGGACGTGGCCGTCCCTCGGGCATGGCGGCGAGCCCCTGGCTCTGCAGAAAGCTGAGAAGGAAAGCGCCGAGCGGGTTGCAGCCAGGAGAGAAGGTGCAAGACCAGAGGAGGGAGGACCGAGGCCGGACGACGCGCCTGACCGGGAGGACCAGCGTGAGCCTGGAGGCGGCAGCCGCCAGCACGGCCAGCACTCCCGCGGGCCTGCGTGCGGCCACCACGGGCACAAGCTGCCAGCGCCCGGCCCTGGAAAACCAGCTTCACCGAGGCAGCAGCACCGGCCCGGGGCCTGGGAGGCCGGGTGGGGCTTTGACCGACCGGGGAGGGTGAGGGAGTCGGGAAATGGGTCGGTTCGGAGCGGCATTTTCTGGCCGCTCTGGCAGCGCCGCGGAGCGCGGCAGGGAGGGGAGTGGGGGCTCCGTGAGGGCGGAGGGACGTGCGTGGGCAGCCCTGTTCCCGGAGAGGCGGAAAGGACTGGTGGTTCCCGTGCCGCAAGAGACGCCCTCGGAGCTGCTGAGGAGCCGAGCTCGCATTTGCCAAGAGGGCGGGGAGACCCCGAGGCGCTTCAGGAAGAGTCTTCAGGGGAACGCCACGTTCGGGACGGACCGCAGACGCCCGCGCAGGGCTCCTGGCGGGAGCGCGGCCCACCAACCGAACAGCCGTGCCCGTCGGTCCTCGGCACAAGCACCACTGCCAGGCTCTGCTTGCATGTGACTCTCCCGGAGCGGCAGCCCCTGTGGCCGGTGCCCGGGCCTTGTGAGAACAGGCCGAGGCCCGGGGTGTCGGCTCGGGCTGGGTGCAGCGGAGCAGCGCTTCTCCCGTTTGGACGTTTTCTGGGCCCCCCGGGCTCGGCGTACCCCAGGCTGGTGCGGCCGGCATCCCAGGGGTGGGCCCGCGGCCCCAGGCTCTTCCATCTCCCCGCTTGGTACCCCGTCGGGCCGAAACAGCTGTCCCCCTGCCCACATCGCAACACCGGTACCGCGGAGTCCGCTTGGCCTCGCCTGGCAAGTACAGCAAACCCTTGGGTTTGGTTCTTGTAACAGAACTGCGCCGTGCACACTGCTGAGCTCTGTGTGGGAGCTGTGGCCTTCGCCCCACCAGCCCTGAGGGCCAGAGCCCAGGCCCGCGCGGGCCGCCTCCCCCGCACACGTTGGAAGCTGACCAGCCATGGAGGACTGCTCGCACCGCAGGCGGGGCGGGGGGCCACGGCCCAAGGCGGAATTCCTCCGGAAGACTCTCGCTCTCAGCCTTTCAGATGATTGGGGGAGGTCCCCGCCTCTGGCAGGAGAGGTGGCCTCCTTGAAGTCACTCAAGCTGCAGAGTCCCTGCGCAGCGACACCTCAAGTAGCGCTGAAGGAAGTAGCTGGTGTCACTTCCCGGGCAGGCCTGTCCCCGTGTTACAGAACCAACAAGGGGGGGCCCGAGGCGATGTACTATTACTGAAAGAAGCCCCCAGGTCCGTTATGTCCGCCGCCAGAGGAAAGACGTCTCAATGCCAGAGATTTGTGAAAAGGAAAGGAAACGTTTATTTCATGCTATACAGACTTAAAGTAGGGACCTAATGTCTTCACCAAAAATCCTCAAGTCCCTTAAAGCACCCACAGACACACACAGTCCTTCCCCCTTTGCCCAGTCCAGAGTACTGTATCTCCTAAAGCCACGGGGGTCCCTACTCTGGCAAAGGCACGCGGTCCTCTCTCCCCGGGCCATGGGAGTCCCCACTCTGCCAGAGCCGCATGGTTCTCCCTCTCAGGGCTGCGGGAGTCTCCACTCTGCTAGAGCTGTGTGGTTCTCTCTTGCAGGGCTGCGCATGGTCCTCCCCCTCTCCCCGCCCCAATGGCTGCCGCGTCTCGGCTTAAATCCCAGCGCCAGTCTTCCTCCGAAGCCCCATTTCCGGCTCCTCTCACAATTGGCTACAGCTGCCAGATTCTGGGCAGGTGTGGCCCTGTGGTGTGGAGCCAATTACCTCCAGGCTTTTCTGGATCTTATTACAGACCCCTATTGGAGGCTCCCCTCCTGGCTGCACCCTGTCACACCCGTCTGTCCCAAGTAGCT